TGTTGACCACGTGAGCAGCGAGGCGATATCCCATATGTGTATTCCATAGTATTCGTTTGTTGTAGTGTTTGATGTATAATATAATCGAGTGACAAATTATTAGTGGCATTATAATTATTTTAATTCGACGTATAACAGAGATTAAGTTTGGTAATATAGGTTTTTTTTTTTTTATGCTACATAAATTTTAGTTACAACCTTGAATTTTGTAATAATATCTTTAGCCATGAAAGACCTAATATCGACTAAATTAGCCGGCTTTGTCAATATTAGTAAGTCCTTTCGGGAATCAGTCTTTCAGGATATTGTGGTAAAATTATCAAGAACATGGAGAATTATTATTACTAATCACCTGAACAAAATAAAGTCAACCAGTTATTATTCTTTAACCTGAATTGCTTATCATAAACACTTAGAGTATTAAAATTTTCTTTATACTAATATGATAAATAAACTATTTACAGATTATTAATTCTAACAAAGTTCACTCTCACATACTACAAAAAAATCTATTAGCCGATCTTTTAGAAGATATATTGGTGTTAACATAATGCATAATGGAGTGTTGCCGTCTGGAATTGCATGATTCAATAAAATATTATTGGATTGGTTTAGTAAATATAAAAGCCTGAATCTAGTTAATATTGGGCGTAGTCTGATTATTTGTTGTTTTGTTGGATTGGTTTAGTAAACTGAAATCTAGTTAACATTGGGCGTAGTCTGTTTATTTGTTTATTTCGGAAAAGCCAACTACTAAAGCTAAGCAGTGAATTTTTTAAATATATAAATTATATCCACTCGCAAAATTTATGAAATTAAAAATTAGAAAATTAATGAAGAAACATGGAACCCCTACGACACAATGGAAAAAAAATTTCAAAGATTGTGTACTCCCCACAATTAAAACACGTTGCGACATGGAGTGATGATGATAATTCAGCTTGTATATACTCTATTGAAGATCAAATGAAGCTGGAATTTAAAGAAACCTTTTCTCTAGAAGCTCAATTAGAAAATGATTGTTCAGAAGACAAAAAATATTAAATATGAACTAAAATTATTTGACGAAAATCACATTGTGTTGATACCTTATAACAATGAAGAACGTATATATGCAGGTTAGATTTCGATATAGTGCAAGTGTGCAACTAGAGTGGAATTTAAGTGGATTCGGAATTTCCTAATTAAATTAGGGCATATAATAAAATCAACCCTAAAATGTTGTTTTTATATAAAAATTCCGAATTCACATAAAATCCGTTTCCACTTACAACAAAAGCAATCTAAATAGTCCGATATTGCTATAGGATATCAAATTTTTGGATATTAAATTTATAATTATCTGACTCAATCAATCAGATTTTTTCAAAGATTGAATCGTTAAATTATAAATTTGAGAGCCAGGAGTTTGATTTATCTTAATTGTTCCGCTACATTATAAAATACTTACATTTATAAATATTCTAAATTTTAATACCTTAATATATCTATTTACTAGTACTTTTTACATCAAATCGTCAAAATTTTACATTAGAATGGACAAAAAAAATTTTAGAACCCTGCGATAGTAAAAAAGATATAATTGAAAGTAATTTCATAGTTGGAAAAGGAAATAATAAATTTGTACTTATAAGAGGAGATAAAAAAAATTATGACGGCATGAACAAAATAACAGGGTCTATATACGAGTTATGTGGAAAACTGAACAAGATAGTATTTACAATTTCAGGGTATAATTATTTCAAAGACCATATCATGCTTAATAATAATGGGCACATTTTTATACACAAACATGATACACATATTATCATGGGATGGAACATTATAAATTCAGATTCTATTTGTCATCTGACTACTGAATGGGAGATTGGTTGTACGTATAATTTTGTTATAAATGATAAAGAAACTCTATTAGCTATTTGGTTCAATAAACGCGTATACATATATTCGATTAAATTTGAAATTTTGACATCATTCTGTATGCTTTATATTTTTATATTCTTTTTTATTATTTTATGACCAAAAATAAGTTTCTAATTTTTTCCTTTAATAATATTTATTAGATTCATTAGATTATGATATAAATGAATGTTATTTTCTTTCATTTGAAGGCAAAGAGTGTTTACTCGTTATATGTGAGCAGGAGCAGAAGCATTTCTATTTGTTAGATTCCTATACTTTTACTGAAGAATGGCAAAAAGTAACAGAGGTGGAACCGCCAAAATTAGAATTAAGCCAGCCATATTTAATTAACTACAATTGTATGGTTTTTAGTACTGATGAAACCGAGAAGGTATTGACAGTTCAAAAAATTTCCTGAACCTCAGAAGGATAAGCTCGATGAAATAAACTCTAATATGGTTTATAAAGAAGTTATAAAAGAAGTTATTATGTTTGAAAAAAGCAAGGAACGATGCAAATTAGAATTTTGTGACAATAAATTGCATATCAAACTTGTTAATGATGAAGGAAGAGAATTTTTTCTTTTTAAAGATGAAAAAAATGATTTTATTAAATGGAACATTGAATTTTCTGAGGAATCTGAGGAATCTGAGGAAGAAAGCAAATCAGAATGGCATGATAAATGGGATATTAAACTTGATAAACCGATTTTATCATCTAAACTCTTAAAAAATAATAATTTATTATTAATTACGTCCGATAGTATATTTATTGGGACTAAGGATTCTAAGAAAAATTTACCAATACGATTACATTATTTTTGGAATAGGAATAATTTAGAGTCATTTCTAGAAAATTTAACTAATTATTTACCATATTTGCCCCTCCTGATTTTGAAGCTAGCACTATAGATTCAGAAATCACAAATAAGGCAAAAGATCTAGAGGTCAGAAAAATGATTGAAGAAATGATTGAAAATTATATTAATTCATCGCATAAATTAGGTCTTTATGGATGTTGGTTAATAAAACATTTATTAGAATATGGAAAATTCGATACTATTGAAAAGTTACTGAAAAATATAATTAAGTTTACTATTCAAAATAAGGATGAAAATTTTATTTCAAACCTTCCATTAATGGTTATAGTTGTTGATAATTTTAAGAAATTAACTCGATATTCTGAGTTTATTAATTGGTTTTTATCTAGAATAGCTTTTTATGTACCTGATAACGTACTTTCTGAAATAATTAGGGTTGATTCTAGTTCTAGTCATCTTCATGAATTTGGCGAATACCCAAATTTTAATAAGGTTTCTTTAACTAGACTTAAAATGGAAGAATTTTTAAATCACAAAATTTACATATTAAACAGCATGCTAGGAACTGTGAGGAAAATGTTAAACCGTTATTATTTTCTGGAAGACCAAAAAAATACTACCGTTAAGTTGGTTTTTCCTTTATTGGAATTTACCAATTATTATGAATTTAACCCTCCTTTTGAATATTCAACAAAGACTAATTTATATGAATTATGGATTGGTGAAGCACTTCTTAATTACAAATGGAGTACATATGGAAGTCTTTGGCACTATATTATCTTATTAACGAATATAGTGTACTTTACTTGTTTTGCATCGGCTGTAATTTTTTATGATCAGCTTGCATCAAATGATCGATCATTTCTATTGTTGTATGCTATTGTTTCAGCTTCATTCTATTGCACGAGTTTTTCGACAACTTAATTTCCTTCAACTCTTTGGTATGTTCAAGAATTTAAATATTGTAAATTGTTTTTTTTTATATAAAGTTTAGTAAAATTATCTTGCTTCTTTTTTTAGTTGATACTTCGACATCAGTATTAGTTTTTGTAATAACGATTTGTATATTTATGTATAAAAAATTCAGAAACAAACACAGGCTGGGTATTTTTTGTGTTTAATGAATATGTTGATTTTGGTGCACTTATAACTTTTACGATTTTATTACTTGAGTTAAAACTTTTATTTAATCTTCATGTTTTGGAATTTTTTGGAATTGAGTTTGCAATTATATTTGGTGTATTTAATGCAGTGCGTTCCTTCCCTATCATCCTTGGACTCTATATACTTGTATTCACAAGTTCTTTACATATTTTATTAAGTTTAAGTGCTAATTCAAGTGCTTCAAATGTTTCATGGAATTTAATAGATTACATTGTTGCTTCATATTATACATTGACGGGTAATTATTCATTTTAATACTAACTTAATGATAGTCAATGCATTTTGTTTATAGCTAGGTTATGGTTAATAATAAGAATTTAGGTGGATTTTATTAGGATCGTTATTTTTATATCTCTGGCATTAACCATGACAATAGTTACTTATATCAACAATAATATTCTATAAATAACCTTTATTTTATTGACTTTATTTATTAATATAGGTGACTCAGATGTGATTTCATCATATGATACAGAAAGAAATATTTCATCGGAAGGATTCATGTTGATAATTTTATTAATTGTGATTTCATTTTTTATTGTTATTTATATGATAAATTTATTTATTGGGATACTTAGCAATAAAATTAGTGATTTAAACAATAAAGGTTCCTTTTTATGTTATAAAGCTATGGTAAGTCTTTTTTTGAGCTGTAATTTAATTAATTAATTAATATCGATATTTAATTTTTTTAAACATATTTGTAGACTTTGTATAAGTTAGAACGAACTTTTATGCAGACATTACCTTTTACAAATCCATATAAAGATCCTTTTCCAGATATTTTGTAAGTCAGTTTTATGAATATAATCTGATTAAATATATAAAAATTTTATTTAACAATTTCTTAAAGTTTTTTTGAAGCTCATCTTGATGAACTTTGTAAATTAGTAAGACAAATCCACGACAATACATGGCCGGGTCTTTATAAGCCTTATATCTCTCCTGAGCTTTTGAAAGCAATCCAAATGAAATCTATAAAACTTGATCAAGATGATGATTTTGATGAAATTTCTGATGAAGTTCTAAATAAGAAAAAAGATTGATAGTTAATTATTTTGTTGAAGTTAATGATCTAAACATTTTTATGTTATCTAACCATGATTCAATTAAATAAATCGGAATTTTTCTTAATTATATTCATAACTTCACATATATCTATTAATATATTTATCAATATGTAGCGATATGTAACGGTTAGTTAGTACTGCAGTTGTTACTTGTATAAAATGAATCAATATAATTTACATTAAACTAAGCACTTGAGTTGCTTAAAGGGAATGTGGTAATAGCAATCCATAATTTTGAATTAGATTTAATTTAACTAAAATCGTAGAATATTGAAAGAGGAAATTTCCATTGTACAAATATGAAACATGGGTACATTTATGACTCAAATTTTGCTTATGAAATCACTCTTCGAGTTCTAACAAAAAAAAAAAAATTATGTAAAAATTTTAGTATAACTATCTTAACTTTAATTCAATTTAATTATTTCTTTAAATTTTTGTATTAAATTATACCCATTGAAAATTATGATAAAGCATTTTCGAATCTCGCCGATTACTTGAAATAAAATTAACCTTGTTTCCTGTCAAATTTTAATTTCGCCTGTATTTAGATCAACAACGCTTTCTAAAAAAATTGACAGTTTAGCATTAAAAAGTCAAATTGAGTTCATTTTATCAAACCCTCGAATGTATTTCAATCTTGATTTCCCTATTAATCCAATTCTTCAAGAAATCAATTTAAAAAAAAAATTTTTTGGCCCACTGCCCCTTTTTGCTGTGGGTCCCATATATTGATTTCCATATTTACGATCAATGGATCAGAAGTAAATCTTTAATTAGTCGGAAATTGAATAAATTAACCGAGTGAGTTACCATTTCGATGAACAAATCAGCGAGACAAACCACTTTTTTTCTTCAATAAAAGTCGCTCAAGCATTTCTTTTCTTTCTTTACATATCAAAACCTAATAAACAATTAGTTATTGCCAAATTTCTAACCGGTCTAAAAAGATACCACTTTATTTTTAATGTTCGAAGATTAATGTAAGCGTAATAAATACAACAATCTTTTAACGTTTAACCAAACCATAATGAATACACTATTCCATTTTTCACTCATTTAAATTTAAAATCTTCTCAGTAAAGAAGACCTTAAATTGAAAGGTTTGGGTAGATATTTTTCCATATTTGACGGATAATAAATAAATTTAAATTGTTAAAATCATTAAAAGGAAACTTTAATGGTTGATCGAAAGGAAATTTTTTCATTAGGTTATTTTTTAGGTCGTATAGTGAAAAAAACAGAAAAAGTGTGCTAACCTATAAATATCGTCATCAATTGAGATTCTTTGGAAATGCCTTACCGTATTTGCCCGTAATAACGCACATGGGCGTTATTTCGAAACAGCCATTTTTTCAAAAAACGTTTATTTGACTCAAAATAACGCCCATGCGTGTCCCGAAATAACGCGCCCCCTTATTATATATATATACTATAATGCCCATGGGCGTTATTATGTGCAAATATGAGTAACCAAAATTTGTCAAAATGACTCGAAATATTGCACATGTGCGTCCCGAAATAACGCGCAGATGCGCGTTATTACGGGCAAGTACAGTAATTGAGTTTTGCTGATATTTGACATTTGACATTTGACAATTGAACTCTTGTCATTTGACATTTGGTATTTTAAACATTTCAACGTCTTGATTCAAACCAAAATAAAAATGTTAAAATTGTGTTATAGCGATAGATTTATCAGCGTTTTCAAATTAGTACGTACGTACGACAAATGAATTTTGTGAATCCTACGAACCCTGTATATTATAATTGTGAAGACAATAATGATACTCAAATTCGTAGGATTCGTCTTTCAGGCAAAGTAATCTGATTGATTTATCGAACTACCACATTTCACAGGTAAACGACCCCTTCCCTTCTCTGTAGAATTTTAAGTTGATGTCTAAATAACTAATACTATATTAATGTATTGATACCAATAAATGACTACTAGTACTATAAATATCTGGATAATAGGTGTTTTACAAGGGAGGGTGGCTTACCCCGTGAAGTATAGTCCATATCGATATTATACGTAGAATATTTCAAGTATATATTATAAATATAGTAATAGTTAAGGGTTTAAATTGACGGCAAATTACCAAATTAAACCAAATTTTCTGAGAAATAATTTAACGTATGCACAATGACGACAGTTGAGCAAATACGTAACGATAATGAAGAGATCACATGCCAATTATTTAACAATAAAAAAATTCGAGTATTCATTTGTTTTGGTTAAACATTGGAGTTAGAAAGAAGGGGCAAGAAATTTCTTGCGTATTGGATTTTTTCCTATTGGATAGTTGAGTAATATTACAAAATGGGAAACAATATACATATTATATTATATTAGGTGTTATACGTGAAATATCGCTTGACAAATTGATTATAAACAAAAGTTTAGCCTTTGTTGCACAAATTTGTAGATGCATGTATTTACCTTTTAAAGAACTAGTAAAATTTGCCAGTAAAAAAATTCGATTTTTATGTCTTTCTAAACTTTAATTGAATGCTTGAATCGATATATTTTCCATTGTCGCTTTTTTCTAAAGGTTATTGCATTAATCACTATAACTCCATTGTTTGTAATAGATTATAAATAAACTTCTAGCCTGAAAGAAATTTTATAGAACGAATTGAAAAAATTTGATATAATAACCATTTATAGACTTATTGCCCACTTCGTCCGACATGTCTGTTCTACTTAATAAAGTAATGTAAAATAATTTTGAAAATATGAAACGTTTAAGTACTACTTTGTATAACCATATTTATATTTTAAAAGCTTTCGCTAAACCGAATTTTTATTCCATTCGGAGCACTTAATAGAATTCATCTCAACAGCAGAAAGCATTTGGTTTGTGTAATTTATTATTTAATATAAAGTTCTATAAGGTTAAAATATAATATAGGTTTAAGAATTCCTAAGAAATCATTATTTTTAATGACTTTCTTCTGAAAATACACTGATCCGTATGTGTACAAGCAGAAACATCGTTTTCGCTAATATTCAACGGCTCAGGATATTTTTATTACAATATATATCGTAATTAGAGTTGTCGCCTGCTAATTTAGGACGTTCTCAAGCACCTACCTCAATGAATTCAATAAAAAATCTGTTTGGCTAGTTTGATCAAACAGACCAATCAGATTCGTTATTGAGTCCATTGAGGTAGATGCCCTTAGTCGACTGTTGTTGTACCTAAATGAAAATACATACATTAAGTAGTAATTCCAAGTCAGTTGTAACTTCTTTCGACAAATTGTAACTAAGGATGGCACACGTACACCTGCGCAGGTTTTTGATATAGCACTTATAATTCTGCCGGTTGGTATAATTCAGGCCACTATAGATTCTTCGCATACAGTAACTACTTTGGATTGTTAATTTTTAGCCAACATTGACTTGATTAGAATAATATTTTGTTAACCGGCATGATGTGACGGATACATAGGTACCGGCAGGATAATAGCAATTAGATAGCTGCGAGAAGTGATGAAATTTAGTTTTGACGCAGAGATTCAGGGAATTGAGATCAAAGTTTGAAATGTTAGCTAGTTCTCAAAAATGTTACTAATAAGTAACATGAACTTTATTAGAGAAAGGTAGAAGAGTAGGCGTAAACAGTTTAGCTTATTATATGGGGGTGAGTCAATATAAATCAAGCAAATTTTTTATAACTTTAAACACGAATAACTTAATGAAACCTTGATCAAATTTAATAAAATAATTTTTACAACCTTGTAGAATTAATTTAAGACTTTGTTAAGTTATTCTTGTTTAAAGTTTTTAAAAAACTTATTAAAAAAATTTTGCTTTGTTTCTATTGACTCAGCCCCATATATTATGTAGTGTAGATTGAAAGATACAGTACTATTACATATCGGCGGATTTGCGGAATTGATCC